GTATTGGACCAGAGTGTCATAGAGTGTCACAGAGTGTCAGCCACAGACCATCAAAGATAAGAGTCTCAAGTTTTAATAAAGTAAAGGTGAGCACCCTGAGGAAGATGTGAAGAAATCAGCCATAGTAGAACAAACTGGTCTACCCAGAGCCCTGAGCTTACTGTCAAATCTAGGAGCTCCAGAATGATTGTTTGGTGCAAGTGCCCGTTCACCGTCTTGCACCTGGGGTGAGGATATAACAGTGTTGGAGGAGATAGGGGTTTGGCTTTGGTCTAAGGCTCAAGGACTCAATTTGGAAGAAGGATCTTCCCAGGCCTGTCCAGGAGTCAAGTTCAGAAACCTAAGTGAAAGACTCTAGGAGGCTGAACCAGGAGAATCAGGATCACAAGTTCCAGGTCACCCTGGACAATTAGGCTACTTAGCAAGACCCTGCCTGTCCCTCAAAATGCTGGAGATATAGCTCAGTGCAAAGGCCTTAGGTTTACTTCCCAGTACCACACAAAACAAACAACAGAAATCCAACTAAGTTAGGACCAAGGGTAATTCCTCCTCCAAACCAGAGGGTTCAGCACAGGGCCCAATCCCTGCTTTGATCCCTGAGAGGGCCTAAGTCTGGATACTTGACATAGCTTCTTTTTATTTCTCCTTCTCAAACCTCAGGGAGAATTTTGTAAGAGTGAGAAAGTGTCAAATCAGCACAGGAGCCAGTGTCTTGCCACAAAGCAAGGTAAGGACCCAGGGAGAAGTTTAAGCCCTGCTGGTCACAGATTGGAGGTGCTAAGCCCAGAGTCCAAATGCTAATTTCAGTTCTGGTAAAATACAACATGAATCATTTGATTTAGCACTTTCTGAGTTTCCTCAGTGAGCACTTTGAAAACTGGAGTATTGGATGATGGTTTTGGCCTCAGGTCAGCAGAGGGAGTCATTTAGGCCCTGCCACAAGGCAAGCCAAAGACTTTGAATGAAGTCTGAAGGATCCTCCCAGACTTGAACAGTGCCACTCCCCCACTGTCAATCCTGCTGTCAACCCTGGAGGCCCTTTATTCTGTCTGTCTATCTATCTATCTATCTATCTATCTATCTATCTATCTATCTATCTATCTATGAGCTATCTTTGTGGTACTGAGATTTGAAACTGGGGCCTTCACAGTGAGCCCATTTTTTATTTTTTTTATTTTGAGATAAGGTCTTGCTAAATTGCCAAGGCTGGGCTCAAACTTGTGACCCTTTCTCCTCAGCCTTTCAGAGTGCTGCTGAGACCAGGAGACAGAGCAGCAGTAGACACATAAAGGCAAAAGTCTGAGTAAATTAGGATAAGCCTTGGGAAATCGGAGCACAGGGGACAAAGGGAAAAGGCCTGAGTAAATTGAAAAAACCTCGGGAAATTGGAGCACAAGTGACAAAAGCCTAATTGGAGTGCAAAGAACAATGGACTAATAAAATCTGCTTTCCAGACGAAAAAAGCCTACAAACAGTGGCAACTGTATAGCTTCATTTTCGGGTGTCTGCCAAAGCCTGCATATAAGCTCCTAGATTTAGTCACCTCTGAAGTGTCCTCCTTTGGAACCACTCTAGGCTAGCAAGAGGTTTTCTTTATTCTTTCTAATAAACCACACACAGTTTGCCCCCCCCCCCCACACACACATACTACTATTTGCAGGCCTCCTTCTTTGCGGTCTGCAGAATAAGTACCCAGAGGGAGGAGTAACTTGATTATATTGTGATTTCAGGAGTGCACCACCACGTCCAGCTTATTTTTAAAATTTAATTATGAGTTTTATTTAAAATTATCTTTAGCAGGGAATGTATAAAGAAAATTTTCAGCCAGGCATGGTAGCACATGCCTATAGTTCTAGCTTCTTGGGAGACTGAAGCAAGAGGATCACTTGAGCTCGCAAGTTCCAGACCTGCCAGGTAAGATAGTGAGATCTTGTTTCAAAGAATAACAACAAAGCCTTTATTTGAAAATACAGTTTAAAGTTTTCTTTTATTTATAGAAAAGTTGCAAAGATAGTACAGAAGTTCCTCTTATGCTCAGCATTCACGTTTCCTTATTGTTTACTGTACATTGATATATATTTGTCACAATTAATGAACCAGTATCAATATATTATAATTAACTAAAATCCATACTTCATATTTCCTTCATTTGCCCTGTAATGTCCTTTTTCTTTCCTGGGATCTCATTAATGTTTCCACACCGCAATTTAGTCTTCATCTCTTATAAGCTTTTCTAGATTGTGATAGTTTTCTAGATATTGCTTGCTTTTGATGACCTTTACACTTTTGGAGAGCAGTAGTCTGGTATTTTATATACTGCCCTTCAATTTTGAAGTATTTTATGATTTGTCTCATGATTACATAGGTATGGGCTCTTGAGAAGAGGACCTCAAGAGGAAATGCAATTTTGATCATATTATTTAAAGTGCACATACTATCAAGATGACTTATGACTGATGATATTCATCCTGACCACCTGGCTGTGGTGGTATTTGTCTACTGTACAGTTACTGTTTTTTCGCCCTTTCTACACAATATTATGGAAGGAAGTCACTATCAGTTCACTGTAAAAGGGTGGGGAGTTTTTGTTTCATTTCCTCGAGGGTGGAGTATTCATATAAATTTTTTTAAATTCTTCTGTTCAAAAGATTTATGTATTTGCCTTAATTTATTTATTCATTAACTCATTCATTTATATTAGTATTAACTCATATATATTTATTTCATACTTTCATTTATAATATCAGATTTTTTTTGCTCAAATTGTTCAACTGGTACTACATTCTTGTTGCTTCTAAGCTCTGTTAGCAAACGGAACTTGGAAAATATCTACATATTAAGCATATTTAGCTAACCATGAGTCTTACTGATGTCTCAAACTTTAATCTACTATTACTAGGCTAGATGATTCATTCTGGCCTTCCCCCTTTGCTTACCTTTATTACAAAATGAAACCCCACTTTCCAACATCTTTATATTTAGTCAATCCCAATGTATTGATTTCAAAATTGTCAACCCATAAACTTGTGAGAAGCAAGTTTAATAAGATTAGAATGTCTATATACTTCTTTCTCTATCCTTGCAATCTCTACTCATTTCCAAAGTTGCTTAGGCAATCACCTCTTTCACCTTATTCTCTTCAGTGACGTTGTTTCATGCATTTGCAATATAGTTAAATTCTTTTGTTGATGTCTGCCCTCCATCCTGAGGTACCCTGACCTTGAAATTGGTTTTTAATTTTTTGTATATATTAAGGCTCACTTTTTATGCTGTTAAAAATGTTTCATCTACTGAATTCTCTCCTCAACTTCCTGGAAACTACTGCCCTCTTTTTGGCTCTCTAGTTGTGTCTTTTGTGAATCATCATATAAAATGGAACCATATAATAGATAATACTTTCAGACTAGCTCTTTTCACTTATCTGCATTTATTTCAAATTTATCCTTGTTATTTCATGCATTGATGGGTTTTTTTTATTGCTGAATAATAGTCCACTGTACATATATACCATAGTTTGTTTATTCATTCACCTATTAAGGGCATCTTGGTTTTGGTGACTATGAATAATGCTAATACAATATAAATATATACAATTATTTATTATGCCATAAAGTTGTCAAACCAGTTGGAAAAACATCTGTGAGCACAATTGCTAGATCATATGATAAGAGTGGAAACTAGCAAACTTTTTTTTGTTCAATTTTTATTTTTTTATTAGTACATTTTTGCAGTACATAATGATCACATTCCTTGTGGGGAGTTGTACAAAGTGGCTGCACCATTTTTCATTCCAGTCATCAACGTGTCACAGATCCAATGCTATCTTCAACAGCAGTTGATATTTTAATCCTGCTACTAGGTATGTGTGGGTAATAATTGTTGTTTGGAATTGTATATCCCTAATGAAAAATTATACTATGTGCATCCTTTCATATGCTTATTTGCTACTGCATATCTTCTTTTTTTTATAATTCATGGGTTTTTTAATGCTATCTACAATATAAAAAAGTCAAAGCAAGGCTTCCTAAATATTAGACCTCTGTACCTTAGATAAGGAAAAGCCACCTAACTGACAGACTTAAACAAAAACTAGACATTTGCCTATTTAAGGTATGACTGAATTTCTGCTTAATGACCCCACTATGTGGTCCAAATCAAGCCCATGATATGAATGCACAATCAAAACATCTGAATGCATGATCTGCAAATACTGATTTACATGCCAAAGTACTGCTTTACTTTACAGAAGATCAGAATTAAAGCATATATAGCAGGAATTATATCTTATTTATGTTCATATTCTGGTTTTTAGATTCTTAGAGCATAATAGGTGCTCAATAAGTGTTTGCTGAATCGAGTCCAGCATTCATCACTTCAGGAAGCACTGAATCCATGATGAAACTGTGATCTGAGACTCAGGGAGAGCTCTTTAATTTGCCTTCAGGCCTGTGATTAATTTCTCGATACCCAATCAAGTTAATTGCCACATATCTGCAACAGTTTTTCATTTCGGGGCCAACATTTCTATAGTTCATCTATTCCACAATTAAGCTTTCTTCAAAGATTTGTGCCTGCACATCATAGTAAAGTTAAAAGAATAAAGATAATCTTTGTTATTCTATGTTGGATATTTGCTTCAGATAATTGCTTAAAGCACACACACACACACACACAAATGAAGAACAGAATCTGGAAATAATGCAAGAAGCCTAAATTACACAGCTCTCAAAGTTAACTAAAAATAACATTGAAATCATAAATTAACCACTGTTGGTCATGAACAACTTATTGCGTGATGGCTGGAAGCAATGCCTAAGGACTGAGAGATATAAACCAGAAGTGTCCTTTCACTTTTGGCTTGACAAAGTAGCTAAAAATAGTGTATTTCCAAGACTGCCCTGCGTATTCTGCTCAGTGTACTCATTACACTGGGAAGCAGTGAGGAGGAAATGAATACACTCGCTCCCCAAAGACCACTTCCACAGTCCACAATGCTTAGATCAATATTTGCCTTGTTATGTGGGTTATTCTGAGAAAGTTCCTCTGGTCGTCACTTAAAAAGTGGCTGTTTTTGATGTCCTTGGGTCCTTGCTGGAAGAAAAGGGGGGGTGTTTCAGAACTCCTGAAATAAAAGCTGTTGAGAAAGTTTCACATCTTTCACTCTCACTGCCAACATGCTTGTCCTCTTGAATGGTGCTAGGAGAGGTAGACCCAGTGTTTAAGTTCTGCCATTCCCTGCAGGAGCTTTGTGTAATAGAAGTCCATGTTGTCTGCAAAGTCTGTACAAACAGGTGACTCCATGTCCCCCACAGTGCAGTATAACACAGTTCCTCCAACGCTAAGGAAAACTGTTGCTATGCACAGCAAGATCAATAAAATACAGGAGCCATCTCCGACTTCATCTTGATCCAAATTATCATCTATTTCTTGGAATCTTACTCTTCACTTAGATGGTTTCTGCTGCATTTGGGCAGGATGATCTCCTTCAGAATCATTCCTCTTCTTTAATATAGACACCAGTCCTTCAGCAGGAACAACCTCTGCAATTTCTATCCTTTTGGCAAGATCATCAAGAGAAAGACAGCTATCATCAGAAGGCAGGCTCTCCTGTAGGCTATAGGATGCTTCTTCAGGAGAAAGATCTTGAAGGAGATCAGAATCATCGTCTTGATTATCTTCATAGGAAAGAGAATCTTCAGTATCTTTTAAGCATTCTTCCAAAAGGCTATTCAAATAGTCTTCTGTTTCCTTATTGACTTGATCTTCCTTATCTCCCTTTTCCTCTGGGGCCATATACACTTCTGGACGGAGTGCACTTAAGTCAGATATTTTATTATTTTCAAAAAGTACATCCTCAGAGCCAGTCTCTGAGTCAGTCTGACCCTGTGGCTATTTTCCATCACTGTCTGTTAGATCAGGCTGCTGCAGTACATTTAATTCATTGTTCTCAGGTTGGTCCATGGGCAACGCCTCAAAAGCATCCTGAAGTGGCAAATGAAGTTCTTTCCTTTGAGTCTGTGAATACTGACCCTCAGAAATCAACACAGGAGGTATTCGATCACAGCTGGTAGGATCAATGGCTCTATCACTGACTCACTAGAGGGTAGCACTTTAGGGTGGTCAGCAATGACCTCTATTGTGGCCACATCTGGGCAGTCCTCTGTGGGAGCCTCCTGTAAGCGGCTAATGTCCTCACAAGCATTCTCAGCAGAATCTGGGCCTGACCTGCTCCCGGCTGACTCTGAGGACTGGGTGTGGAGCTCCAGTGCGGCTCTGGCGCTGCAGAGTGGCTCCTCCGTGTGGTCCTTCCCTGCAGTGACTGGGAGGCTCAGGGAATCTTCCTGCCTGTCCATCTGACTGCAGGTGGCACTGCTCTCCTGGGGCTCCTCTTTATGCTGGCTTTCTATACTTGGTTCCAGGCCAGGACAAGTTTCACTCTCTAAACCACCTGATACTTCCTCTTCAATATCAGGGCTCTCAGGCCCCGGAACGTAAAGGTCAGCAACAGAAACCGGCTCTTTGGATGTAGCTCTTTTTGTCTTTGATTCTTCAGACACTCTTAACTGAGTAAAACATTTTCTTCCTAGGGACTTTTCTATAGCTATCTTTTGTCTGGATAAAATAGGATCTTGATGTGTTGAGCAAAATTTAGCAAGCCGTTCAAAATCTTCACCATTAAATCCTTTTTCTGAATTCCTTAGAAGCGTAACTGTATGAGGTTGTACAGTTTTCCATTTTGCTTCCCACTGTTCTTGAATGGCAGAAAGATTTGCCAGCAACAGCTCATGATACAATTGTTCAAGCTGAATAAATTTCATTGCTTTCTCATAGTCTTCTTCCTGGAAATATGATTCTGCTATCTGGTGAAGGCAGAGGGGAAGTGCTCTTGAACCCAACTGCTCAACTTCACCTCGTATGAGTGAGAACAGAGACTGCAGAGCTAGCTTTGGGGCTTCTGGTTGATCGTTAGCATTGACTTCGGCAGTCTCTTCATCACCAACAGCATGTGTGGCTGCACTTAGCATCTTTTCTTGTATTAAAGATGCATCATCTGCTGGTGTCTTCTTAATAGTGCCTTTCTTGGTTCTTGTACCTCTTTTTCCAGGTATTTTTTTGTCTTTTCCCAAGAAGTCCTTTCCATCTTTGGGGCCTTCACACAGAACACTTTCTGAGCTCTCACTGGCGGCCACCTCACAGCTGGACACACAGTTTTCATTATTGTTGAGACTATCTTGCTCTAACACTTCAGTTTTCCCCATTGCACTACCACTGCTGGTCAGAAGAGCAGGCCCGTCTCCATCAAGTTGATTTTCATTTTCATCTGATGCAGAAGGCAAGTGTGTTACTCTCCTTTCTGCACTGTCACCAGCATGACACCCATCTTGTGATTCTATCTGCAGACTATATGTAGGAGGATCGCTGTTATCCATTAGCGCATGCTTTGTTGAACCATTTAAAATTTCACGAAGTCCTTCCATGTCTGGGAATCCGAGGCACGGGCAGGGCTACCGCAGGGCTACCGCAGGGCGCGGGCCGCGCTTCTCCCTCCACTCGCTGACATGGCGGCCGACGAGCTGTCACGGAGCTCGCTCACGTCTCCCGCGGCTCGGGCGGATTAGACCCTGCATATCTTCTTTTCTGAGGTATTTGTTCATATATCAATTTTACTTATTTTTTATTTTTTGGTACCAGAAATTGAACTCAGGACCTTGCGCTTGCCAGGCAGGCATAGGTGCCACTAAACTACATCCCCAGCTCATATATCAATTTTAAAAGCAGGGTTCCATATTAGTTTCAGATAAAAAATATAACATGCAGTGTGGCTTATAACAAAATAAAGCTATTCTCTCAAAGTTAAGGAAGCAAGAAGTCTGAAATCAGGGAATCTGAAATGTTGGAAGAAGAGGCCATTCCATGCTTTTCTCCTAACTCCTGGTGGTACCTAACAATTTTTAGCATTCGTGGCTTATCACTTCAATTTGCCTTCATCTTTAAATGGCTTTTGCCTTTGTGTCACTACGTTTCAAGTCTTCTGTCTTTCTCTTATTGACATCTCTCATTGGGTTTTGGCTCACCCTTAATCCAAGGTAATTCTATCTTGAGATCTGTAATTTAATTATATCTGCAAAGATTCTTTCTCTAAATTAGGTCACATTCACAATTTTCACAGGTTAAGGGACAGACATAATTTTTTGCAGTCGTGCTTAAATCTACCACCAGTCATTTGTTTAATTATTATTCCATTTTAAGAATTCTTTATACATTCTGGATACTAGTAATTTATTAGGTATATGATTTACATATATTTTCTCTCAACTTGTGGTTTGTCTTTTCATTCTCTTAACAGTGTCTTTCACAGAGAAAAAAATTATTGATAATAAAGTCCAACTTGTCAGTTTTATGAATTATACTTTTATTGTATCTAAAAACTCCTCACTAAACCTAAAGTCAAATGTGTTTCTTCTTGTGTTTTCTTCTAGAAGTTTTATAGCTTTGCATATAATTTATACCTGTAATCCATTCGGAGTTAGTTCTTATGGTATGAAGTTTGTGTCTGAACTCATTTTTTTCCCATTATGGATGTCCAATTATTCTAGCACTATTTGCTGAAAAAACTCATTTTCCATTTATTTGTGTTTATATATTTGTAAAAACTTTGCTGACTATTTATGCAGGCCTGTTTCTGCACATTTGATTCTCCCCTCTGTATGTCTGTTCTTTCACCTACATTATGCCATCTTGATTAATACAGTATAGCTTTATGTTAAGTCTTGAACCTGTGTTTTGTCAGTTCTCAAACTTGGTTCTTTTTCAGAACTGTGTTGACTATTTCAGAATTTTTGGTACTCCATACTGGAATTAGAATCAGTTTATCGATATTTCATAAACAATTTGCGGGGACTTTGGGTTGGCATTGTATTGGATCAGTAAATCAAGTTAGAAAGAATTAGCTTCTTTTTTTTTTTTTTTTTGGTACCCTGGGGATTGAACTCGAGTCCTTGCACTTGTGCAGCAGGCGGCGAAACCACTGAGCTAAATCCCCAGCTCCAGAATTAGCTTCTTAATAACAATGAAACAAACATGGAGTGTTTCTCCATTCACGTAAATCTTCTGTTATCAATATGTTGCAGTTTTCTGTATACAGATCCAGTACACATTCTGTTAGTATTTCTTTTTTTTCCTCCAGTACCAGAAATCAAACTCAAGACCTTGTGCTTGCCAGGCAGGCATGGTGCAGCCAAGCTACATCCTCAGACCAGTATTTCATTTTTGTGCTAATGTAAATATTTTTGCTTTTTAATTTCTAATTCCAGCCTTTATTGCTGGTGTGCTATAAAGGAATCAGAATTACTTGTTTCAGGAGAGTTTTTAATTCTTTGGACTTTTCTAAATAGAACTATTTCCTCTTCAAAAAAAGACAATTTCCAATCTTTTTTCTATGTGTATATATTTATTAATTTTTGCTTTTCTTGCACCAGACAGGACTTCCATTATTACATTCAGTAGGAGTAATGAGAAGACAAATTTGTTTCATTTCTAATCTTTGGGGGAAATTACTCATTTTCTCATCATTTAGTATGATGTTAGCTATAGTTTTTTTTTGTATACTCTTTATCAGGCTAAAGAAGTTCCCTTCTGTTATAATTTGAGGTTTACCTTCAAAGACTCTGATGTTAAAGACCTGGTCCTGATAGCACTGCTGGGAGGTGGTAAAACATTTAAAAGGTAGGGCTTAGTGGAAGGTCTTTAGATCATTAGTGGCATGCCCTCTGTTGTAGCTTGTGTCTAGATGTCCTCCCAAAGGCTGTGCAGTCTTTCTGAAGGTAGCTAAATCTGGAATGTGTGACGCTAGGATTGAGGGAGTGTGATTACTAAACCACTACACCTGAGTGATTATTTTGGAGCCGCCCTAATCCTGGTAGTCTGAATAAGATAAAAGGAGCAGAAAGATGCTGTTAAGGTCCCTTGTTACCTTTGCTACTATGTGGGTGCCACAAACTGTTTCTCCTCTGCGATGCTTGTTTGCCATCTTTGCCTTGGAGCCAGCTGATTATGGACTGAAACCTCTACAAACTGTGAGCCAAAGATTTCCCTTTCCCTCTAACTTTGGATGTCAGGTATTTTGTCTCAGCAATGAAAGAAAAGTAACTAAGACACCCTCAAAGGGGATTTGGGGACTGACCTTTTCTGCTTTCTTCTCTGATTTGCTTCCTAGCCATGATGTGGACAGTTTTTCTCTGCCACACACTCTGGCAGTGCTATGCTTACTTGTAACAGGCCAAAAGCCACAAGACCAGTTGATCATGGATTTAAATGTCTAAAAATGTGAGCCAAAATAACCCTTTTATCATTATAAGCTATTACCTCAGGTATTTTAGTGTAGTAATGGGAAATTGATGAACACATCTCCTATTGTTAATTTTTAAAACGTTTTATTGTAAACTGGTTTTGAATTTTACAACTGTTTTACATCTCTTAATAGAATCTCATTCATTTTATATTCAGTCTGTATGTGATAAATTTCATTGGTTTGCAATTACTGAATCAATGTTGCATTTCTGGAATGAGCTACTCTTAGTCATGACACAAAATTTTCTTTATATATTGCCAGTTAATGTTTGCTAATATTTTAAGTATATTTATGTCTATGTTCATGAATGATATTATTTTGTAGTTATTTTTCTAATAAGGTATTTAAACAACTTGGATATTAGAGTGTGATATTCTTATAAAAATACAGTAGTTGAAAATTCTTCCCTCTTTTTCTATTTTTTGGAAAATATTTTAGATTATTGACATATTTTCCATCCTCAAGTGTTTGGTATTATTCACTCAGGAATCCATCTGGGCCTACTAGATTCTTTAATTAGATGATTTTAAACTACAAACTAAATATCTTTAATAAATATGGGGACATTCAAGTTATCAATTTCAGCTTCAGTTGTGTTTTCTAAAAAATTGATCCATTTCATCTAAATTTTCAAATTTGTGAGCATAAAGTTCAAGACCTCTATTTTTTCTTAACACTGATGCGTTATGGCTTCTCTCTCTCTCTCTCTCTCTCTCTCTCTCTTTTTTTCTTCCTGGTTACACTGCCTAGAGGCTTATTGATTTCATTGATGTTTAAATGTTGTTATTAATTTTTCCTAATGTTTTTCTGCTTTATATTATTATTTCATTTATTTCTACCCCTTTATTTATTTTCTCATTTCTTCTGCTTATTGAGGGTTTTAGTTACTCTTCATCCTCCGGTTCCATAAAGTAGAAACTTACATTGTTTAATTTAGGTCTTTCTTTCTTGTTTTGTTTTTTTTTTTCTGTATAATTTTGATCCTCTGAATTTCTCTCTAGAAACTACTACAGCAGCAATTTCCAAACTTTTTTTATTTGTTCTTATTTGTTCAAAATGTTTTTTCTTGAGACTTCTTTGAAATATGTTTAGAAATCTGTTGTCTAATTTAGAAATATTTAAAACTTTCCAGGTTTTATTGATTTCTGATATTATTTTGCGATCTGAGAACATATTTTGTATGATTTCTGTTCTTTCAGATTTGTTAAGTTTTGTCTCATGGCCTAGAATACCATGTCTTTAATAAACATTACAGGTGAGTTTAAGGAGAATGTGTATTCTGCTTCTTTTGAATGAAGTTGTCTATCATATAATTAAGTCAAAATGATTGTTAATACTGTTCATACCGTCTATATGCTTACTGAATTTTTACCTGTTTTGTATACAAATTACTAACAGTGTAATACAAATACACTATAATACAGTATTTCTCCCTTCATTTATAACAATTTTTAATTCATATGCTTTGATGCTTGCTTGTTATGTGTAAGCATGTTTAGAATTGTTATGTATTCTTGGAGAATTGACCCCTTTATTGTAATTTTCTTTCTTATTCTTGTTATCTTTCTTGTTCTGTAGTATGCATTTCTAAAATTATAAAAACAATTTTGCTTTTACTTCATTAGTGTTGTCACCCATTCCTTTACTGTCTTTTTAACTAGTGTACTCCAAAATATATTTTATTGAATTCCAAAGTAGCATTCCTATATGAGATATCCCAAATTAAAATCAAGTTATAAAAGCACGAGTTATGAGACCAACTAGTGATAAGACCTGCTTAGACAAATCTGAAATAGATACCAATTTATACCATATCTCACATGAAAGTTTTTCTAATTAATAGACTCATATATTAATAATAGCAAGATAAAGATGTCCGAATAAGACTCTGAAGTGCCATAAGTGAGTTCTAGCTAGGCTGTAAGGAGTCTGCTATTGTTTGCTATCCATGTAAACAGACCTTATCTACTTATGCCAAAAAGGTTAAAGATCTTTATCCAACTAGACATAACTTCAATTGAAGACTAATTTCTAACTACCAGACAGATATTTTCCTAGCAGGTTAATTTTAATATGCAGGAAGGTATCATCTAGATGGCTGCATCATGTGTTTGTAACAGAGACATATGTAATGTATTTTGTGTTCAGG